CTCAGGGAGAAAGGAGGCCCTGGAAGTAAACATGGACCACCTTGCTTCATTGTCTGTCCTCTCTGAAGGCTTCTTAAGGATGGGCTCCTGGAGTAGAAACCCGCCCCAGCCACTCAGCATCCAGTGGGGTGCTTGGAGTCTGGTCCTGGAAGCTCACAGGCCCACAGGAGAGTACAGTAGACAGAGCAGCTCCAGTCCAGCCCTGTCACCCACTAGTGACCATCCTCGGCCGCTTGCTCGTCCTGGGACCTGCTTTCTCCTCTGTAAAGTTCGGGGGATGCGGTGGTGTCACTGCTTGGAGGGTGTCTTGAACACTCAACCTCCACAGCTGTAGGCCAGCTCAGGGCACTCTGTGCTCCGTTCCCAGAGCATGGCCTGCACCTGGTCCACTCCCATCTCCCCGGTCCCAGAAAGACTGTCGTCCGCACTCTCCTTTCCTTGGAGAACGAAGGTCTGCAGTGCAGCTGCCAGGTGCTGGGTCTGCATATCCCTCCTGCCATGGCTGTCCATCCCCTGGCTGTGATCTGTTCTTTCTTTTCTTTTATCTCTCTCTATTTGTATTGGTTCTAGAGCTTGACCTCAGGGCCTAGACACTATCCCTTGGATTTTTCACTTAGGGCTAGCGTTCTACTACTCGATCCACAGCTCTTCCTTCAGCTTTTTGAGTAGTTAGTTGGAGCTCACAGTCTCCTGGACTTTCCTGCCTAGGCTGGCTCCAAACCTCTGATTTCAGCTTCCTGAGTAGCTAGGATTCCGGGCGTGAGGCACTGGTGCCCAGCTGTGAACTGTTTCTAGTGTTCTGGTCACAAAGGACTGGAGGATGGGAATGGAAGGAGAGAGGAGCCTCGGGTCCCCTGACCCCTGCAGATGGTCTCACCTTCCAGACGTCCCCCTGCTGCCCATTGCATACCGCCTCAGGGCTGGCGAAGCCTCTGGGCTTTGAAGCCTTGAACACCCCTGTCCCAGGTACCGTGTGCACCACAGCCAGGTGCTGCCTCCAGGAGTGGCTTCATTGTCTGCACATGCTACCGTAGGTCTCCTGTCTCCTCACATGTCTCCTTGGTCCCCTTCCCTCCTTCCTGTTCTTTCTTAATAGAAAGGGAAATTGGACCAAGCCTCCCCTCCCTTACTGCCCAGCCAGGAAGAGGGAGGTATAGTGATTTTATAAAATGCTCACTGGGTGGGCCAGGTCCCTCACCCCTCTCTCTGAACCCGTTTCCTTGATAGACATGTCTTGCCTCAACAGTGCTGGTCTGCTCAGCCTCCTCCTCCTGTGGTTGACAGGGCACAGGGCTCCCCGCCTGCTTCCCACCATGCCTGGGCCCAGGATTGATGGCAGCAGGGGCACCCGCCCATCAGCTGTCTTTGAGCCTGAGTGAGCACTGTCTTCTCAAAGTCCAGTGCAGCCAGCATCTGCCTGGGTTTACAGAGGAGGAGAATTAAGGAGGAGCGAAGCAGCTGGTCTCCAGAGCTTCCAGATCATCCCTGCATTTGACTTAAGCCATTGGGATTGCTCTGTGAAGCTGTTGTCCTTAACAGCCAACATGGAGACCAATAGCGATTTGTCAGCATAGTTCCGGGTCTGTCTGTGCCAGGCTTTTTACCCTAGAAAGCCCTATGGTAGCAGAGCTTGCTATTGATATGAGTGTAGAGCCCAGATTTTCTGAAAATCCTGGTAATTTGGCCAATGGTTCCTTCCTGGTGGGTGTGTTGTCATATTACTACTCCTCCACACACAGAGTGCCCTAAGCAAGGGAAATGTTTGCTGAGCTTGCTGACCTCAAAGACCTACTCCACAATCCACAAATGTCATTCAGTCCCAGATACCTTCCAGCTTTCTTCTATGCCTTTCTTAGTGTGTCACTTCTGTCCTCATGCTTGTAAGATGGCTGTTGAATTCCTGTGCACCTCACTCATGGCCCAGGTAGGAAGCAGGTACCTGGGATTTTTGTTTTAACTTTAAATTTTTTAAAAAAAATATTGCTATTGTGAAGGTGATGTGCAGAGGAGTTACAGTTACATAAGTCGGGTAATGAGTACATTCCTTTCTGAACAGTGTCACCTCTTCCCTCGTTTTCTCCCAGGTTTCCTTCTTGACTTCCCTGCCCCACAGGTTGTATAGTTCATTTTCAGCATGGTGTCTAGTGAGTACCACTGCTGCATTAGTTCTCCCTTTGTCCCTCCTTTTCTCTGCTCCCTCTTACCTTCCCCCAAGCAGATAAACTTACATACAAGATGAAAGGTACAGAAGTCAAAATCAGTGACAAAGGAGAAAAAAAACCCCACAAACTACCCAGAAGCAGAATAACATAAAACTCCTTGTTTCCATTTCTTGGAGTTCATTTTGATAAACATCATTTTATATGATCATATGCACATAGCTACCGAACCTTTGTCATCTTCTCCTAAGAATGTCTAATTTATCGTGTCCAAGCGTACTTTTCTCTCTTACTACCCATTGGGTTTCCTTGTAGATTTGTAGGCTCTGTCTGTGCGAAGCCCGCCATTCCCTCTGGTGTCTGGCTGTCTGGTGCGGAGGCAGCTGTTATACAGATGTCTGCAATTGTGGCTGCTAGGACAGAGGGCACGAGGGGATGGGTGTGTGTGTGGTGGGAGGCAGGAGGGGGCCTCTTGGGGCCTTTTTGTGTCATGCAGACATACATCCCCCAGTGCAGCGAAGGGAGTGTGGTTCAGCAGGCTGGGAATGGCCGCTCCGTGTGTTGGTCTAACCTGGGTGTGTGAGAAATGACCTGCAGCCACTAAGACACTTGTTTATCCTCAGACAGTCCAGGTGCACAGGACTTCCTAAATCCTTTTTTTCATGTCATGCCTGGCATATGGTGGAAAACAGGACCTTAAAAGAACAGCCTTTGAGTTTGGACTCTACATCTGTGATGGGTTCAGATGCTACCCCATCATCCCAGCCGTGTGAGCGTGGGCTAGTTGACCCGGCCTCTCTCCGGCGTGGTTTCCTCCTCATCTCTGCAGTAGGATGGTCCTTATGCTCTAGGGTTATGGGGGTTCCAGAGAGATCACAGGGGAGATCGGAGATCAGAGGCCTTGGAGTTGTCAGATGTGATCCACACCTTCACTTTCCCTCGTGATACAGTAGTTTCTAGACTCTTCAGAGTCAGTAAGAGAAGGATCGCTGTGGCCTGGGCTTTTGTCCTTCACATCTCTGGCTGCTGAGACTCTCAGAGCAGGGTCTTCTGAGGTCTGCTGCTGCGCTGTGGTAAAACAAGGTTCCTATGAACCTCTGGAGGTGGAGGAGCTGGGGGGAGGTGCTAGTCTACCATCGTCTTAGCCAGGGGGAGGGGGTCTCCTGGTGAGCCTCAGGACAGAGGACTGTCCATCTGGTTGGAGTCTGGCACTGTAGTCTGCTGTCCCAGGTTTCTGGTGTCCTGTCTTTGTGGGAAGATGGACACGCGTTCCTCCCTCACAGACACTGGCTGATTCATCTTGCCAGGGACAGGACGGGACGTTCCTTTGGGACTGGAGAGGACAATGGCTTGTGTTTGTGTGAACTTCAATTCTCCTGGTCTCAGATGTGGGCTGGCCTAGAAGTGTGTGTGTGTGTGTGTGTGTGTGTGTGTGTGTGTGAGAGAGAGAGAGAGAGAGAGAGAGAGTGTAAGGTGGACAAGAGAGAAGAAAGTGAAGGGGAGGGGGGAGACAGACCCTTGGCACAACGACCCAGGGTTCTACCACTAGCAGCCAGTGGCGTTGAAGGAGACACGTGTGAAGTAGGGTTCCCAGGCTTTGCTGTGGCCTGAATCACGTATCCTGCCAGTTCTTGGTGAATCCTCTGCAAACTTTCCCGCTCCCTGCACCCACACATGATTGAGAAGCAGCCTGCACCTGGTCCCCTAGCTCACCACTTGGTACTCGGACACTGAGGTGGCCATAGCCAACGTCCTCTCTATCCAGACCTGCTCAGAATGGAGGGCAGGGCAGGGCAAGGTCACAGGCCCTGACGATAATGCTTACATGTTCCCAAGGTGTCACACACCTGCATCTCGCTGGCTATCTGAGGTGTGACAGGACGGGCCATTTGTGTAATAGCCAGATGAGGAACAGAGCAGGAAACCAATGCAGGACTGGGGGGCCGGGGAGGGGAGTTGTTTCTTGGGGGAAGATGAAGCACCATTAACACAGTGCTCAGAGATGGTATCCTGTCAGCCCTGAGTGCCACGGTGGATCCTTTTCTGCCTGGGCTGGGCTGTGTAACCCAGGACCCCAGCTTGAGACCACTCTCTCCCATTTAGGAGGTGAATGAATGCCCAGAGAGTCTGTGTTGGGGTGGGGGGATGGGGATTTGAGCCATTGTGTGCACAGTCAGAGGGGACACCGCCTAGCTTGGCCTATTTTTAGATGGAGCCATGTGGGCATGGAAGACAATAAAGAATGTGGATCCACAATGGGTTATTGTTCCTATGTTGCCTTCAGGGCCCAGCAGATGACCAGCAGCCCCTATTGGGAAGGCCAGGGGGGCATCACCCCAGCCACTGGGTTTTTTCCGGTGCTTGTCATGGGCAGGGGAGAAGGGCTAGGGCCTGTGGGAGGAGAAGGAGGTGGGGAGACAGGGCTAGCTCTGTGCTCTAGGGACATAGTTTTGAGGTGACAAGGCAGATGGCTCCAGAAGAAGGGTGTAGGGATACGCCCTGGCACTGCCAGCGAGCTGGCCCTTCCTTGTGCTGTGTGTGCATCTTACCACCTTGTAGATTCTTCCACCTGGGCACGTTCTCCCCATCCCTTGGGGGCAGTAAGGGGCCCTAGACTTCTTGTTTTCAAAATAGCTCCTCCTTCCTAGGATGGGGACAGGGCTGCATGTATGTGCATGCATGCACATATATGTGTTTGAGACAGGTCTTGCTACCTAGACACCTGTGGCCCCAAACCAAGTGTCTGGTGGCCCAAGAAGGTGTGTGCAGTTGGGACCACATGGGAGTCCCCAGTCAGTGTACAGTCACGTGAACCCTGCCCATGTCCGCTGTCTCTCCCAGGAGCAGGACATTGAAACCTTACATGGCTCCATTCATGTCACGCTGTGTGGAACACCCAAAGGAAACCGGCCCGTTATCCTCACGTACCATGACATCGGCATGAACCGTAAGTTCCCACGAGCCCTGCTTGAAGGGCTGAAAAGTATGGAGTGTGGGTCTTGGAGCTGTCTGAGAGCCTGGATATGGCGGGAACATGGGAGCTTCAGTTGTTTTATGTGGACTACTGTTCTGTGTACATGGTCCACGTTTTGTGTACCCATTCTTCAGTAGGTGGATATCGGGCCATCTCCCCATTATGCTGCTGTGCACAGCGCAGCTGGGAATGTTTAGATACTGAACTGCTAACATGGAAGGCAACCTTACTCTATAAAGGGACCGGAATAGGGTGGACCTAGTGCCCCTCCATTGCAGCAAGAGACAGTCCTGCAGTTAAAATCACATGGGACACAAGTGGGTCTTTCTGTGGAGATGTAGAAAGCACTTATCCCTTGTGAACTGGAGCCTTCACGATGGAGGCTTGCTTGATTTTAGCTGATGAACTCCAAAACTAGCATGATGTCTGTCACTGGACACCACTTTTCCCTTCCATCTCTTGTATCAATTCCATCTATCATTTGTATCTATTACATATAATTCCCTGCACTAGATACTTTGTACATCATTCTAATTCATCAGACTCGGATAAGGAAATGGAATTACATAGGGAGCTGTTAATCCTCTGTTTTAGAGAGGCCCTCTGTTAGTTCTAGTACACTAAATGGTATACTGAAAGACCCCAAGATCTCTGTACCTTTACACAATATAGGATTTTTGTGCACTCATGTAAAACCCAGTGGGTGTGTTCCATGTGGTGATTCAAGGACCGAGGCTCCCTCTAACTTGTGGCTCTGTAGCTCTCCTCTTCTTCTTCTGGCTTTCTCTATCTGATAAGTAGATGGGGGCAGGGAGGGGAAGAGAAGCACAGAACACTAGATACCAGAGGTAATGAGAACCGATTGACACTCCATGTTGGCCAGACCCTGGTCCTATGACTTTCCTTAGGTACAATGGAGTGTGGGAAATGTAGTTCAGCCATGAGTCTAGGAGGAAACAGAAGAGACAATGATTTGAGCCATCAGTGCTTCAGCATCCAGTTATTGGCAGATTCATCTCAGGCCACCTAAGTAAATGGCTCATGCTTATTATGTTTCTTTTGTCTGGCTGGTACCTGAGACACGGGGGGCTGGTGGGGGGAGCGGCTAGGAGACCCAGGGGAAAAAGTATCCATGGATCAATCCCACCTCTTTACTTATGCCTGACAGCCATAGCTGGGGAAACACAGGAGCCAGACAGGGAGCCCTTCCCTTGCAGCCCCAGCCGCAAGCTCAGGACTCCCTGCAGTACATGCAATGTGCAGCGGAGGTGACAGGCCACCTCCACCCCTGTACTCACTCCTTGGCCCCATGACTCATTCCCACCTTTCCACCAGAGGAAGGTTGAGTGGGATCGGAGAAGACCTTCTTGTGAGCCCCTCTCCTCTTGAACAGCATTGAAAAGAACAAAGAGAACATGCTTTGTCCCCAGTACTTACTCTCTTTCAACTCCTTTCACCCCCCTTGCCTCTTCTCCAGACAAAACCTGCTACAACCCCCTCTTCAACTCCGAGGACATGCAGGAGATCACCCAGCACTTCGCTGTCTGCCATGTGGATGCCCCTGGCCAGCAGGATGGGGCTCCTTCCTTCCCCGTGGGGTGAGCGCTGGGGACCTTGTGCCCTGTGGGCGGGGCAGGGTGGACATGGGGATGGGAGCCTGAAACTGGCTTTAAAACTGGTCATCATAGTAGTCAGATAGAAAATTGGCTATTTCAGCCTTTCTTTTGTGATTATACCTACATGCATACATATATATACATAAATATAATACCTACATATATATGTGTGTATATGTATATACATACATATATATATATATACACACACACACACACATATATAAGCATTCTCCATTTAACCATTTTAAGGGTACAGTTAATGTCATTAGGGACATTCAAATGCTGTATGTGACATGTACATATCATCACTATTTCCAAACTGAAGTATGCCTGCCAACTCCTAACAATTCCTAACTGGCTAGGCTGCCTGGCTAGAGCTTAGCATGGACTGACAGACCTGAAAGGTTTAGACCAGACCAACTTGTAGGGGGAGAAAGCCCTAAAAAGTAGAGAAGGAAAAGCGGTGAGGAAATGGTACTGATGGAGTGTTTCTTGAGTGCACGGTACCCTGTTGGCCAGAACCCCTTCACAGGGTTCGTTAGACATTCCTGGTTACAAGGGATCTTGGGAACCGTGGTCCAATTATGTGTCCAGGAGGAAATGGGTCCCGGTTTGCTTAAATGTGACTTGACTTAATCCTTGTGGCCAGTTGACTATGGACGGTTTGTCGGCTGCATTTTCTACGTGAAGAGGTGGAGGCAAGGGGGTCAGTTCCCTTCTTGGGGTCCCACAGTGGGGAAGAGGAGCCAGGCTTTGACCCTGGTGTGACTGAAAGGTCTGCATCAGGTTACAGCGTCAGGCTGCCGTACTGTACGGTGAGCTTGTGGGTATCAGGACATTTAATTTTCTCACAATGCACTACAGCCAGGCTTTCTCTTCTTCCCCTCATCCAGAGGGTCCTGGGCTTGCACTAAATACTAATAAATGAAAGATCCAGTCCCAAATTCTCATCGCTAGACTGGCTCCAGCCAGCAGAGGTGCTTACCCACGCCTCGTGCAGGGTCCTTCCTTGAGGTGACAGGCATTCAAGTTGGCATTTGAAGACACCCTTTGTAATTATGTTTGTTTCTTTGTTGCAAGTACCTGTTTTGAACTCAGTTTCTCATTCTTGCTCAACTAGAGTTCTGTCACTTAAGCCACGCCTCCAGCCGAGCTTTTTGGCTGGTTAATTTTGGATGGAGTCGGCAGAATTTTCTGCCCCAGTTGGCTTTGAACTATAATCCTTGAGATCTCAGGCTACTGAATTGCTAGGATTACTAGGCCTGAGCTATTGGCACAGGCACTGTCTTTAATTATTAACCTTTATCAGAGAAGAAGGGAAGGGACACCCAGCCAAGACCTGGAGTTTAAAACAACAACAACTAAGATGTATTAATCAAGGGATACAGTTAACAGCGAAGCAGCAGATAAAGCAGAGGCCTCTCTGTAGGTCAGTCTTCACTTGGGCCCACTGTTTGAAAAGACCTGGAGTCAAGCAGAGCTGCTTACTCTTCAGGGGAGGTTTTACAATATCCACAGCCCATCTGGGGACTTTTATTCACTTGATCTGGAGACCAAAGTGACGAATATTTTCCCAAAGTTGGGGAACATTTGTTGGACGGGAACCACATTTCTTCCTGTTTCCTGGAGTCAGAACGGGAGGCTTTTTCTGGTCTCCAAAGCCATCGTTCTGGGACTGAGTCAGAAAGGCAAGGTTTGTCCCATCGCTGGTCCGGACTCTTCCCTATCCACAGGAGTCCTGCCCCACCCCTGCTCTGATCCAGTGCTAGGAAGTGGGAGGAAACAGAAGCCCTGATGGTTAAGTTCCAAAGTGACCACTCCACAAGGAGCCTCTGTCTGTCCGCTTCCCTTCAGCAGTCACATCATCCAGCTCCTTCCAGACCTTTCTTGAGCTTCTGTGTGGCCTAGACGATCTCCTTCCTCCAGGAAGTCCTCCCTGACCACTTGAGTGGAATAAATCCCCTACTGTGTCCCCTCAGCCCTCTGCCCTCCTGTGCGGCTCATGGTGTGTCACCTTGTTGACTCAGGGCTGGCTCTGGTGCAGGGCCACATCTGCTCCGTTCACATGGTGTCTCGGCCTCAGAGCCGATGCCCAGCACGAGGGCTTGTTGGACACCCCCTCCCTGAGGAGGACTGCGGAGGCCCGAGAGGCGCGGGTGTCTCAGCTACTCCAAAGCCACGCCGATCACACAATCACACAGCTCCTTCTAGCTGATTGTCCATCAGCCTTGAGCACCACGAGGTTTCCTGCTGGGCCTGGTGACAACACTCCCTCTGGGAGGAGCCCATACAACACCCCTTGACCAAAGGAAAGGTGGGGTGCTTGGTGGGGGGTGGGTAGATACCCCGTGGCTAAGGAAGGGTACTGTATATGGGGTAGGTATGGCTGTCCCCATGCAGCCAGGGTGCCCTGGTCTGGATTGCTGGGACCTGGACTCTCAATGAACTGCCCCTCTGTGTCTCTGCCAGGTACATGTACCCCTCTATGGACCAGCTGGCCGAAATGCTCCCTGGCGTTCTTCACCAGTTCGGGTGAGAATGAGGGATCCTCTTCCCCTGGCTTGGCACAGGAGTGTGACTTCAGCCCCCTCCTTTCCTTAGCCCTGACCTGGTCTGACTCCTAAGCCGTGGCCAGCGTTTCACTGCGAGGTCAGAGGGAGCTGGCTACCTGGGTACCCACAGTTCCTCCTGCATCGACGCCCCCCCTTCCCCCCCTCCCCAGACCACAGCAGCCTCTCTTCTTGAATAGTCACATCATGCAATAGAAGTCACTCCCGTTCTGTCCTTGTCTCTCCCCCCCCTCCCCATTTCTGTACTTGTTCCCATGGAATGTTCTGGAATAGGACCACCTGAGGCCTTAGTTTGGCTGCAGATCCTGGGTTTACCTACGCAGAGCTGAGGCTCCGTGGTGTCTCATTTGATCCTTTCCCAGGGTGATAAACCTCACGGTTTACACCCAGGCTGTTATCACTCCAAGTTTCAGGATCCAAAATAAAGCCGTAGTAGTAGGAAGTGGCCAGGCCTTGGTGGGCCTTCCGGTCAAGGTCAGGAGTTTCTCAGATGCTTGGCAGCACAGGGGAACAGGAAAGGGGCGGGGGAGGGGCTCTCAAAGACCATGGTCCCTGTGGGGTCATCACGCTGGCTGCATTCCCCCCTCCAGAGTGCCTCACAGCAGTGGCTCCACACAGTCATGGCCGTCAGCTGCCCTCAGCGGGGACGGGACAGGCAGGGAGGGGACAGGGTTCCTTAGGAGCTGGACAGGGGCAGTGGGGTGGGGGAGGGGGGCGACCATCACCTCTCACCTCCACTTCCAGGCTGAAGAGCGTCATCGGCATGGGCACGGGAGCAGGCGCCTACATCCTGACTCGATTTGCTGTGAGTGTCTTCAAAAAGCTGTAAACACTTGGCTGGGTGTTGTTGGCTCGCGTCTATTATCTTAGTTACTCAGGAGGATCGAGGCTCTAGGCCAGCCTGGCAATAAGTTCCATGAGACCCCACTGTAAGGGAAGGAGCCCAGGGTGGCAGCGGCCTGCACCTGACGTCCTGGCCAAGGTGGGAAGTGTAAATAGAAGGCTGGGTCAGGTTCAGGCCGGCTCAAGGGAAAAGCCAGACCTGTGTCAAATACAAGCAGATCAACCAAGAGCTGGAGGCATGGTTCAAGTGGTAGAGAGGCCTGCCTAGCCAGTGTGAAGCCCTGACTTCAGACCCAAGTACTACTGCCCCCCAAATGATGTCTTTAATTAACTAGATTCAAGAGTTAAGCATCAGAAGCCCCAAAAGGGAGGGCAGGCAGGGAATACCCATGGCACGTGCCCGTTGGTGACGTGTGTGTGTGTGTGTGTGTGTGTGATAAATCTCAGTTACACACAGGACAGCTTTGGTCTCTGTCTCTGTAGTGACCACAATGGGATGTCCTTTGCCCAGGGTCCCGTCCACTGAGCAGCGAGTGGGGGAGGGGAGGCAGGTCCCTCACTTCCTTGTGATAGTCATAGGTATTTGTAATTGAGGGTACCTGGATTTCAACTAGAATCTGACACCTGTGTTCTCACGACAGTTGTCACTGTCAGGACTGTGTCCCAAGGCTGGTATCACCGTGTTCTCAGTACTTTACCCCACAATTGTTTTCAAATGGGGCTCTGCTCAATCCCTGAGTGGCCCTTGGATGAGGGCTCGGAGCTGTACCTGGTGGAGGTTAGAGATGTTAGATGAGTCCAGGTTGGCCAGCCCCTGGGGCTCTGGTCAGACGCACCAGTGGTTCCCACCGGATTGTAGGCACAGACGTGTTTCCTGGGAGTAATGGCCTTGCCAAGCATGTGAGCCTCTGGCTGGCTGGGATGGCGGCTGGGGTGTTGTGCTGCATCAGCTTGGCTGGGTAAAGGGACTCAACCCACCTGCGAGGTCTGTGGAGCGCATGTGGGTCCTGCCTTCTTCCCAGCACCTTCCTCTCTCCGCGCCCTTAACGCGGCGATGACTGAGCTGGAATCTCAGTTTGAACTGGCAGAGCTGGGGGGGTGTGGGCTGTTGATCTTCCTGAGACCAGCTGTCTGCTCCAGACTCTACACTGACCGTTTTCTAGATGCGTCTCCCAAGCTTGCTTTTGAAGTTCCCAGGGTTTTTGACTGCCGTGCTGTTTGTCTTACCTCATGTGTCCCCATGCAGCTGAACCACCCCGAGATGGTGGAGGGCCTTGTGCTTATCAACGTCAATCCGTGTGCGGAAGGCTGGATGGACTGGGCTGCCTCCAAGGTGAGTGGGGGTGGGGGGCTGGGGAAGGCGGCACCGCACTGCCTAGAGAAGCCTTGAGCTCCCCTCCTCTTCTCCCTACCATGCACCCAGCCAAGAGCAGCCTCCTTATAATCCTAACTTTTCAGGAGGCTGAGATCTGAGGATCGTGGTTCAGAGCCAGCCCGGGCAGACAAGTCCGTGACACTCTTACCTCTAATAACCACCATGAAACCGCAAGGGGCGCTGTGGCTCAAGCGGTAGAGTGCTCGCCTTGAGCTGAAGAGCTCAAGGACAGTGCCCAGGCCCAGAGTTCAGGCCCCACGACTGACCCAAATAAATCAATAAAAGAGTGGTCTCCTTCTGCTTCCTTTATGCCAGCCAGTATGGCTGCCACAGCTTGCCACTGAGAAGGTTTAAAGAGGCCTCTGCTATCTCCATCAGGGGACCTTTGGGAACAGCCTCCAGCCAGCTCGATAAGCATCAGCCAGAGTCCTGAGGTTTGCTGGGTACCTACCAGGTGCAGGGCCTTTTTCAAATAGGTGACTGTGTCCGATGAAACTTGCGGTGGAGGAGCGGACAGCCCGTTGGGAACCCAGGGGCTGCTGCTGGAGTTGCTTGTCACAGTTGGCTCTCGTCTGTGTTGAGCTGATCATTCTGCTTCCATTCCGCCTTTCTCCGCCTCAAGGGGCTGTCACAACCCCTCCAGGAGGCAGGCCCCTTCCGGCCTTCACCAAGAGGAGGAAACTGGGGCTCCGTGCTCAGGCAGCACAGCTAGGACGTCTCTGTGATGGGCACCGTGGCCTGGCATTCCCAGGGCTCCTGGTCTGGGTGGAAATTCACCAGCCTGAACTTCAGGACTGACAGCAGGGGGAGATGGGCCTGAATGGCTCCCGAAGTTCTGCTCCAGCTGGGGTCCTGTGGGAGCCCAGGATCCCAGGACCCTCTATCAAGATCTCTTCTCCCCAACGGATACCGAATCAGCTATTACACATTTGTGGAGCTCCTTTCCCAGGCCTAGTGGTTTGCATCTCCTACGGTGTAGCTGGCATTATGGAACTCCTGTTGTAAATCTAGGAAAACTGTCTGGAGGAATGGGAGCTAGCAGATGGTGGAGGGCTAGCGGGGACAAGCAGGTCCTGGGGTGTAGACTGGATGGGGGTGGGGGGTAAGTGTCCTCAGGGTGTGTTCAGAAGAGGTGCTGAGGACTTAGTGAGCCTTCAGAGCGGGGTGAGGCCGGGCTGGGTTCTGGCAGAGCAGCACCTTCTCACCATGCACCGCCTTTGCATGACTCTGAGATAAAGAACAGGAGGTAGATCTGGGCCCGCGTGCCCAGTAGGGGACCAGGACAGAAGCCAGGCTCCAGTGGAGGAGGCCTCCCGGGCAGCTTCCACTACCTGAAATAATCAAGCAGGAAGAGTTGGCTTTGCCTCCAAGTTTGGGAGGTTTCAGTCTGTGGTGGGTTGGGCCTGCTGTGAGGACATTATGATAGGAGTCTGGCAGAGCAGAGCTGCCCACCTCGTGGACAGGAAGCGAAAAATAAAAAGGAAGGAATCTTACAATGTCCTTCAGACGAAGCCTAAACATCTCCTGCTCAGCTCTTACTTGAAGGATCCAATCGTGCCCCGTAGGGGCTGAGGCTCCAATGCCTGAGCCTCTGGGGACAGTTAATCATCACAAAGCAGAAGGTGTCCTGTGCGGTGTCCTGCGGGGCACTTTGTCCCCAGCGTGTGGCCTTGCTTGACCTTACATTACTTCCACGCAGCTTGTTTTCTAACCCGCCGTCTCCCTCCTGCAGATCTCCGGATGGACGCAGGCCCTGCCGGACATGGTGGTGTCCCACCTCTTCGGAAAGGTGAGCGGCTCAGCCCAGAGTCCTGCTCTTCCTGGTATGTGCATGATCCATCGCAGGGGCCCCAAGGGTGGACCCAAGGGACCGTGCAAGCCATGCATTTTCTTTCTCTAAGCACAGGTCTCTCTAAAACATCTTCCTCAAAGTACTCTTACTACGTGTGCTAGGTTTATATATATATATATATGTATATATATGTATATATACATATATATAACATCATGCGGTGCATTTGTGACGTACTGTATCTACATACATAGATACTATATTGTGTTACATTTATAATATGTTACATACACATACTACATCTTACATCACATGGTATATGTACTGCATGTATTTTGACAAAATTTGACCTCCGTGTTCCCACCTGTGAAAACGGTCACTGTAAGGATCTTCGTCACTCTCCAGAGTTTCCCGTGGTAGTCTCCCCTCCTGCGTGCCAGGCCCTTCTGCTCTGCCTTCTGTCCCTGTAGTCTAGTTTGTGAGACCAGGAACTCCAGGTCATAGGTCATGGGCGCCGCACGGATGCACCCTCCCGTAGACCCAGGCCTCTCCACTCTGCCTGTCCTCAGTAGCTCATTCCATTGGTTGGATGTGTGGAACATACCATTTTTTTCCTGATCCCCTGTTTATGGCCCTTTGACAAAGTCCAAGTCAAGGTCAGCCCCTTCCTGGGCTACCAGGACCTCCTGGAGTCTGCTGGGCAGTTCTGTAGCCTGTAAGATAAACACCGTTTTCTGAGAGAACTGGAGCTCACAGAGGGGAAGGGATTCCCCAAGCCGGGGGCAGTGTGGTGGGGGGGGGGGCGGGCAGGGATGCACTCAGGGCTGCGCTGCATCCCGTCTCCAGTGGCGGCCTCCTTCCTGCCACCAGCCAATGGCTGTATCGATGCCCACATCCCAGCCTTCCCAGCTCTCTCAGTCCCCTGTGGGGAGAGAGCAGTGTGTGGCTGGGCCGCTGTTCAGCCAGGGCCGTCCCCTCTCCCCGCAGGAGGAGATGCACAGCAACGTGGAGGTGGTGCACACCTACCGCCAGCATATCATCAATGACATGAACCCCGGAAACCTGCACCTGTTCATCAGCGCCTACAACAGGTGAGCTGAGCCCGGTCACGACCTCTGCGGGCCTGGGATGGAGGCGGGGCAGTGGATGGGGCCATGACGAGCCGTCTGGTGCGGCGGGAGCTCTGCGGGGCTTTGGCCCCCGTCCCAGGCCTTGGGGCCAGCTGCAAGGGCAGTGTGGTCATGTGCTCGGCATGGGCAGCAAACGCACTGACCTCAAGGTAAACGCCCTGTAGCAGATCTGGGAGACTGAGAGCAAAGCACTGCGGGAGGCATGGCCATCACTCCGTGGACCCTGGGGAGGAGATGCGCAGGGATGTACAGATGACATCCAGAGGTTCTGGAATTTTCCAGGGGCTCACTCAGGCTGAGGAGGGGTTATTATTAGGGTTACTTCCTGCCATGTGGCAAAGGCACACAGAGAGGTTTAGTATTTGACCTAAGGTCACACAGCTAGGAGGTGGCAGAACGTGATTCCAGGCCTGTTGGCCTGGCTTCAGATTATGGACTAGAAGGCACACAGGCAAGCAGAGTGGCTGGGTGGTCTACACCGGCTCTGACACTAGCACAGTAAAGGCCGCTGGCCTGGCAGCCAGCGGTGGAAAGTTCAGGTCCACGTCTTAAGGAGGTCGTTGGCTACTAGCAGAGGCCTTTGGGCCCATACAGGTGGCGGAGCCCAGCTTAAGAGCACAGACTGAACCAGAGGACTCCAGACATCCTAGCCATGGGAGGCAGAGGGAGAGCCTCAGCAGCCCTGGCTAAGATGTCCACGAGACCTTATCTCAAGAGAAAAGGTCTGCTTCAGTGATGGAGGCCTGCAATTCCAGCAAGAGGATCAGGGTTCGGACCAGCTCAGGCAACAAAGCGTGGTTCTATCTCAAAAATAAGCAGAGCAAAAGAGCTGGAGATGTGGCTCAAGTGGTGGAGCTCCTGCCTAGCAAATACACTGCTCCCCTCCTCCAAAAAATAAAGGAGAGGCCAGGAGGTCAGGGGTGAAAGCAGAGGTCAGGAGGTCAGGGGTGAGAGCAGAGTCAGGAGGTCAGGGGTGAGAGCAGAGGTCAGGAGGTCAGGGGTGAGAGCAGAGGTCAGGAGGTCAGGGGTGAGCGCAGAGCCAGGTCAGAGTTGGCATCTGTTCCTGTTGTGATGACATGATTTGCACTTCTGCAAAAAAAACAAAAAAAAAAAGAACAAAAATCAATTGTAGTATTAACAAAATGAAGTGGGCTCTGCGGGAAACATAAGAGTCCTACTGGACCCTTAACCATTCTATAGGCACCAAGAGGCTGGGGGTGGAGAGCCGCCTGGCCTCTCCCGGAGCAGGTTCATGGGTGTTTTTCCAGCCCTGCGCTGGCGCCATGGGGGTGGGTCCCCCAGGGTGCCGTGCCCTGCTCATGGTGCCTGTGTTGCTCGTAGCCGGCGGGACCTGGAGATTGAGCGGCCGATGCCCGGTACCCACACCGTGACCCTGCAGTGAGTCGCTTTCCTTCCCCCTGTGGCCAGGGCCTCCGTCCCCTCCACATCCCTGCCCCGTCAGAAAGCCGCCCTCCCTCGGGGTGGAGAGCCGGCCTTTCTCTGAGCCTGGCACCTCCAGACTGAGCCCGGACCCAAGCTGGAACCCTCAGTGTTGGAGGAGACATCCCTCCCCTCCCCCCTGCCATGCCCATAACTGTGCTGGGCTTGGCTTCCCAAAGCCCAGAACCTAGTGGTGCAGGACCCACCCCGGGAGGAGGTGTGACCAGGGCTCTGTGAGGCACACTGTCTGCCACTTGTGAACTTGGCAGTGTCTTTTCCTTTGCCGTTCCGGCTAGACCTTGTCTAGACATTGCTGCCCCCCCCTTTCCTAAGGATTGGATGCTTTAAACATAAACTCCAGGACATAGCATTCCCTATCTGAGCTTTATACTAAAGTGTAAATGACTAACTTGCTGTTTTAGCTTAAGAACCAGAGGATAGAGAAGGTGATGGAAAAGAGCAAAAAGGAAAACAGGCTCCCTCCTTAGAACCCTAATGGGGCCTGGCAGGGCCTGTCACTGAGCCCTGAGCTGAGTCCTTGCCCTGTCTCTGTCTTAGGTGTCCTTCCCTGCTGGTGGTTGGGGACAGCTCTCCTGCCGTAGATGCCGTGGTATGTAGAGAGCCACAGTCTCTGTGGCCCGGCCCTGGGTGAAGCCTCTGAACCCACCCTCCCCCACCCCAGCACTCAGGGGCATTGTCCATAAAGTCCACACCAACCTTGGGGCAGAGCCCAGCCCTGGTCATCTCTATGGGCTGCAGAGCAGAATTCGCAGAATTTGGTTCTGTGGTGAAATAAAACATCTGGGCGCTGGTGGCTCACGCCTGTAATCCTAGCTAACTCAGGAGGATGAGAACTGAGGATCAGAGTTCGAAGCCAGCCTGGACAGGAAAGTCTGTGGAGACTCTTATCTCTAATTAGCCACCAAAAAAAAAAAGCTTGGAGGAGAGCTGTGGCTCAAGAGGTAGAGCATCAACCTTGAGCACAAAAGCTAGGCAGCAGCTGATGAGCAAAGGCCCTCCATGTGCAGATTCTCTGGTGGGTCTTCAACATTCCAGCTAGTCCTTAGAACAGGCTGTTCCACAAAACAAAACAGAACCATCAACCCCATTTTATTGATGGGGAAACTGAGGCTCGGAGAAGTTACATAACTTGTCCAGAGTCCCACAGCTTGTCACAGCAGAGCTAGGCTCTGAAGGCCAGTTTAGCTCTGCCCCCTCCACCACCACCCCCGCCACCCTCCCCCCATGCTTCCTTCCACACATCAGAGGGAAGCTCGGGTTTCTAATGGGGGGGGGGCAGCTGGCAAGGGTGGAAGGATCGTGACCCTGACTCTGGTACCTGACCACGTTCCCCTCTCTGCCCAGGTGGAGTGCAACTCGAAGCTGGACCCCACAAAGACCACTCTGCTCAAGGTATAGAGGAGGGGGGTTCCGGGAAGTTCCCCCACATGGGGCTGGGCTGAGGCAGAGCGGCAGTGAGAAATCCTGGGTGTGGCAGCCGCACCTGCCCTCCCAGCGCTGTGGGGGAGGGGGATGGAGGCGGAGCGTGGAGACCTGAGGCATCCCGGGTTCCATAGCCAGATCCTCCTGGGCAGCCGTGCGGGCACTGACCAGCTTCTCTCCCTCCAGATGGCGGACTGCGGCGGCCTCCCGCAGATCTCCCAGGTGAGTGCCAGCCTGGCTTTGCTCTGCCCCCCCCCCATCACTGCCCTGGCAGAGCCTGTGTCTCTGTAGCATCGGATAATAGAGGACCAACTACTGCTTATTAAAAAAAAAAAATGAGGCTCACGCCAGTAATCCTAGCTGCTCAAGAGAATGAAATCTGAGGATCAAAGCCAGCCTGAGCAGACCAAGAGACTCCTATCTCCAGTTAACCAGCCAGTAGCCAGATGTAGAGGTCTGATTCAAGTGGAAGAGCACCATCCTCGAACAACAGCAAAAACTAAGCTGAATTAGACACCCAAGGCCCTGAGTTCAAGCCCCAGTATCAGCGCGCACGCACACACACACACACACACACACACACACACACACACACACACACACACGTGACTCCTCCCCTCCGGGCAGCAGCCCCTGCAGTACACGTGGCCCAGGCTTACAAGCCGGAGCAATTTGCCGAGTGCTTTCCCTGGCCAGGGACCCCAGGAACTCAAGTCCACAGCAGAGACAGACATAGAGGATGCCAGAGCAAATTGTGTGTGTGCGCGCACGCGTGTGTGTGCGTGTGTGTGTGTGCGTGCGTGTGTGTGTGCGTGCGTGTGTGTGTGTGTGTGCGTGTGCGTGCGTGTGTGTGTGTGTGTGCGTGTGTGCGTGTGACAGACCATCCATAGTTGCCCTTGGCTTTTGTGTTTGTCTCTCAGCTATTCGGTGGCCTCCATGTGGGGCAGTATCTTGTGTGAAGGTGACCACAGGCCCCGCTGGTGGTCTGTGGCTATGTGGCTATTGGCCTTTGACCACGTCCTCTCTCTCTCTCGCAGCCAGCCAAGCTCGCTGAAGCCTTCAAGTACTTCGTCCAGGGGATGGGATACAGTAAGTACGGCGTTCTACGTCCAGTGTGGGACAGGATTGCCACAGCCTGGCCAGGAGGGAGGAGAATTCTCCGTCGCATCAGCCAGCATCAGTTTTTGAATGCTGGGCAAAGCGAGAAGATCTTTTTACAGTCCTTGTTTGGGAAATGTGTTAGTAGTCCAGGTCATTGTAAGACTCACCTCCACCACGCTTGCTTTCTAGCGAGGTGGAGGGTGAGGGTATCTAGCTTGTCTATTCCAGGTAGATCCATGCCCACTCCAGCATGGCACCTTTGCCTGTGGTCCTGCGGCCCCGTGTGGAGATGGGCAGGGGTGCGGGTCACTGGGCCACCTTGAAGGGCCGGCCTCAAGCTCCTTCCCCCTGGAGCTGCTGGCATCTGATTGCTGCTCCCATGGTGTGTTCTGGTTATTGACGCCAGATTAGCTCCTATCCCCAGTTTGTCCTCCAGCCGGGACATCCCACAGGACTTGGGGAAAACAGCAGGAAGAGCTTCTGTAGCTGAGGAACCTGTCAAGAGAATGAAGTCACCCCTCCTTCAGTGGCTGGTGGCCAGGGGCCTGTGTGACCAGCCCTTGGCATACCAGGTGTCACTGGACAGTGTCCACTGCCCAGGGAGGTCAGCAGGACCCCCCAGGGTGGGGCTCAGGTTTTCCTTGGGCTTCCCAGAAGCAAGTGGGCCTTTCTGGGTTCACAGCCAGCCCTAGGGAAGGGGTTCCAGCACAGCAGGGGGACCCACTAGGCGTCCACTGCAGCGTAGCAGTGGCAGTAGGATTGGGCCCATGGGACAGGCAATTACGGGAGAACCTGTTCCTGCACCTGCCTCTCCCTTGCGTCCGCCTCTCCCCTGCAACTGTACCCCTTCCCTCCTCTTATTAAGGACGCCAGACTCTAGATTAGGCTCATCCTAATCCAGGGTGACCTACTTAACTCTGCAAAGACCCTGCTTTGAAGCGAGGTTACAGGCTGGGGCTTCTGGTGAACACGGCTTGGGGGAGGGGACCCCGAGGCCCGGGACTGGTGGGGGTCGCTTGTCACTTTCCTTTGTCTGCCACAGCAGTAGGGCAAGTGACCTTGGGGGCTTGGGGACAGTCTCAGAGGGGGCTGCCATTGCCAGTGCCTGGGAGCCGTCCAGCGTGGACGAAGGTGGACGTTTAGCACTGCTGTTGCGACTTGCAGGGTGCACCGGTGTTGGTCTGGGGGTGCAGGACTCAGCCCTGCCGGCCTCAGGCAGTGCAGGGTGATGGCCCCATGCCGACGGGAGGGGCCACGCCAGGCCCTCACTGCGCAGAGGGGCTCCAGGGTCACATAGCTTGTTGAGCAACTGGTAGAACTGGGGTTCAGACCCAGATCGGGGTTCAGACCACTTTTGCTGTATGATTGCTACCAATGTTTCCCCTGTGTGAGCTCTGCTGTCCCCTCTGTAAGTGGACACAGTGACACGAGGACCCCTGAGGCTGGATGGCCACAGGGCAAAGAAGGGACAGGCCAGTGCTGGCCCGTAGGAAGGCATCATGGCTGGTGGGCGGTGCTTGTCCCCTGTTGAGGTGTCAGATGCCCTCACCAGGCTGACTTTGTTTCCCCCAGTGCCCTCCGCCAGCATGACCCGCCTCATGCGGTCCCGCACAGCCTCGGGCTCCAGCGTCACCTCCCTGGAGGGCTCCCGCAGCCGCTCCCACACGGGGGAGGGTCCCCGCAGCCGCTCCCACACCGGGGAGGGTCCCCGCAGCCGCTCCCACACCAGCGAGGGAGCCCGCCTGGACATCACCCCCAGCTCGGGCACCACCGGGAACAGCGCCGGACCCAAGTCCATGGAGGTGTCCTGCTAGGCAGCCTGTGCCCTGCCGCCCTGGACTCTGATCTCTGTAGCAGCGCCGCCCGCCCCTCCCCCCCCGCCCTCCTCACCCCTGCCCACCGCCCTGTGCTAATGCGATATTAATCCAAAGCTTATTTTGTAAAAGTGAGATCTGGCCATGACAGACTGGGTCTGTCTAGCGCCCCTTCCTGTGGGAGGGCAGGGTAGGTAGTTGTGGACCAAAGGAAAGGAGCGGCTCACGGTCCTGCTTCCATTAACTGGTGGGCTGGTGGCCTCTCTCACCCGCCCTCAGAACACCGAAAACTGCCCAAATCCAGGAATCATTTCTGCTTCCGGCCTAGGTTACCCTGAGCATCCTGGTGTGCCAGTGTTTGGCCAGCCCGCCTACTTCCTGTTTCCTCTCCAACCAAAGACTGCGGGAGCCTTTTCCCGGGAATAAAACCCGATCCCTGACTTGGGGAGGGAGGAGCAGTAAGCGTGGGCAGCTGGTTTTCAGTAGGCAAAACAGGAAGGGGGTGGGATTCAGGAACAAGGTGGAATTTAGGCGGAGGCTAAAAGCATTTGGAAAAACACGTTCACTCCGTTGACTTGAAGAAATCAGTTCTTTAAAGTTGGCGCGTGGTGTGCCGAAGCACACGAGCTTGTTTTTGTTTTTTTTCCCCTTTGATTCTGACTTTTCTTTTTAATGTACAATGAAAGCAGGTGACAGACGCTGTTAGATTTCTAAGGACAGAAAATGTGTGGCGGTTCCATGCTTTGGCCGTCACAGGCCTTCACCTTTGTGAACGAGGAAGCCTGGCTCGATCTGTGGTAGCATTCTCTGGGGTGGAGGAGACCCTTGTCACTCGCGGGTGTCCCTGACTGGAACGAGTCTCCACGCAGGAGCGGTTATGGAGGTGACGGCTACAGCCAAGGCTTCCCCAGTGACTGTCCTGGAATCTAGGACAGTCTAATAATAGGTCCCAAGAATCATGCATGATGGACAGCTGCCCATCTCCAACCTAGCCTCTTCTTCATCTAGGCGCATCCACGTGGGGAGTGGTCTGAGGAAGAGTATCGCATGGGAACTTCCTGCCCTCTCCTGCCACCCCCTCCCCACCCTCTAACCTCCTTTGGCTGAACAGGGTGACACCACTGACACTGCTCAGTCAGTCTTGACAGCCCAGGGTCAGATCTCTGCTCCACTGCCTTTGGTTTTCCTCTTGGCTAACCACAGATTTTCCTGTAGGACGTGGGATTGGAGGGAATGGAATGTGGTGATTCAACCTCTGGGTGGGGCTTGGTTGATTTCTAGGACCCTAGAGTCAGTGGGAGGTGGCTGGAGAGGCAGTGATTCCATTTACCTGCCAATTACCATCTTGGGGGCTTCCCCTGACCTTATGTATATAGAAAGAACGGGAATCCAGGCAAGAGTGGCTGAATACAGGCCAGAAAGTATTGTACAAGTCATTCCGGAGGAGTTTCTTAATGAGATATTTGTATTTATTTCCAGACCAATAAATTTGTAACTTTGCAGCTGCTTGTGTCTTATCCCTGTCCCCTGGAGGGGGTGTGTGTGTGAGAGAGACATCCCAGTCTGGGGATTCTCCGTACTGTGCCAGGTCACCCCACCCCATGGCCCCTCACGTGGGATTCTTTGCTTCAGAGCAGCAGCACCACCAGCTAACTAACTTGTAGTAACTACAGTTAGATAACTAAATTTCAGTAGCTAACTTTAGGCAATCGGATTAATAATCGGAAACAAAGGCAACTGAATTTCTATTAGCCACAGTAAATGAAACAGGTAAAACTAAACAAGATCTCTAAAAAGATTACCATTTGCATAAACATGACCAATTATTTGCATCTTAGTTATTTATTTTGTGCCAGCCCAGGGTCTGGATAAGGTCTCTGAATTTCTTTTGCTCAAAGGTAGTGCTCTACTACTTGAGCTGTATGTAGCTCCACTTCCGGCTTTATTTTGGGGTAGTTGGTTGGAGATCAGAGTCTCATAGACAGTCCTGCTTGAGCTGGCTTTGAGTTGTGATCCTCAGATCTCAGCCTCCTGAGCAGCTGGGATTACAGGTGTGAGCCACCAGCACCCAGCTTACATCCTTTTTCTTATGCTAAAAATAACCCCCCGGGGTGTTGTAGTTCACACCCATGGCATGTCTCAAGTACTAAATTCTTTCAGATCAGCTTAACACATACAGAACAGTTGCAACATGGTATATGCATGTCAATTCCTACTATAACAAAACACCCGAGGGATATAACTTGAGGAAAGGTTGACTGTGGCTCACAGTGGCAAAGGTTGTGGTCCCAGGGCAGGACGGGGTGGCAGGAGGATGAAGCAGAGGAAGTTGCTCAGGTTTTGGCTGCCAGGAAGCAGAAAGGGGAAGCAGCGGATTGCTTTCCAGCTTTCTGTCCTGCTGTGGGCAAGAGAGCTCAGAGCCGGATGGTAGTGGAGGGACTCCATGTTTGACTATATTGAGAAGCCCAGCTCAGACGTTGGGTAGAGTCCTGCGGCTCAGCTGTGGGGAGGGGGAAGGGGAGACGATTGAGGTGGGCGGGGGGCTCCTCCAGGATTCACATTATCTACGTGTTGGCGATCACGACTGGCAAGGTTCTTTTCCATGTTTGTTCTATGTCTGCTGTTTGGAAGAAGTCACAAAATGAGGCTGGTGCTCAACCTTCTACCACAGCCATCTGTTGTTACTGATATCAGAGACTCCTCTCTCCTCTTGGGAATTCTGTGTGGTCCGCTAGAAACACTTGCGAGGTCTGTGTGATGGTGTATGTGTGATGGTGTGTGCGATGGTGTGTGTGTGTGTATGTGTGTGTGTGATGGTGTGTGTGTGTGTGTGATGGTGTGTGTGTGTGTGTGATGGTGTGTGTGTGTGTGTGTGTGATGGTGTGTGTGTGATGGTGTGTGTGTGTGTTGGTGTGTGTGTATGTGATGGTGTATGTGTGATGGGGTGTGTGTGTATGTGTGATGTGCGTGTGTGTGTGTGTGTGTGTGTGTGTGTGTGTGTGTGTCCCAGCTCACAGCCCCGCTGTCCTGGAGGCAGTAGGAATACATCAGGGGCCGTGAGTCAGGCCGGAGGGGTGAGGCAGTCCCCCGCCAGTGTGGACAGGATGTGTGAGCTCATAGGCCGTGGCCTGGTGCGCGTGTGGACAAGACGTGTTTAGACAGATGGGCTTGGGGTGGGCTGGCTGCTCACAGCTCTGCCCCATCCCCGCAGCAGAGGACAAGGACTCTCTGTCCTAGGGTTAATCCCTTTGGGTCCCTCTCAAGTGTTTGAAACACATAACCTCTGACCTGTAAAATTACCAAAGAACCAAGTTACACCCAAGTATCCTGATGCAATGTGACAACTGTGAGAGAGTCATACACGAAGTTTTCTTCAGTTAAAGAACTTGAGGCAGATTCTACCAATAGTACACATCCAAGGACAGGGGTGGCTGGTCACCCTGGTCTGGAAGATGGGGTAGCATACTGGACCCTGCTTTTTCCTGCCGTGGGTCCTGCCTAAGGGAGAGAACAAAGATCCAGAGGTTGCTGAAAGGCCTCCATCAACTGGGAACAGAATGGCTACAGAGTCAGCTGGCACTGCAACTTGCTTCAGGCTTCAGAAAGCCAGGAGGAAGGGAGGGCTATTTGCATAGATCTGGTGCCCTGGAGCTGGGTGCCCAGAGGCTGTTCCCACCCATGTCTATTTCTGTTCTGGTGTGCAGAGCTCGGCCTTGCATTGTTTCTGTAGAGGTCCTCTGCAGAGACAAGCCAGGCCTCATGCTGCCCCCTCTTCTCTGATGCAGTCCGACACTGGACTGGACCCTCGCTGGAGCCACGCCCACCTGCTCAAGTGCACACCCTCTCCAGGTGTCTTGCTGGGTGTGTGTGGGGGGGGTGTCTCAGCCTCAGAGGATGAGAGATGGGCTTGGGAGAGGCCAAGTGAGCCCATCAGCCTCTTTCTTTGTAAGGTGAGATTGTTCTGTAACTGAAACATGAAATAGTGACCCTAACCCTCCCTGATCTTTTAAGTTCTTGGGCCCTAAACCAGCCAGATCTCTTAAGGAGAAGAATCTAATTCATCCAGCTTGATTTAGGTGTCCAACTATGATTTGGCTTGCATTGCTCCTCTTCTCTCCCCAGACCCCATACAGCAGGGGCTCGGAGAAACTGGTGCATTCATGAGCACTGAATCAATCAGCGAGTTCTGTCTGCACCATTAAACCTCGAGCAGCCAAGTTCAACTTGCAGCATGGGCCCTGCCTCCTCCCTGTTCTGAGACACCTTTCCTGAACATCCAGCCTTCCCCCGGAGGCATGGACCACCTGCAGAGATGACATAGGCCGCATTTGTAATTCAAGTCCCTTGTGTCTGCCCGCCTACCAAATCTAGTGATTTCTTACTTGGGAATCATCGCAGGCCATCCGATGCCAAGTGCGTAATGTTTGATTAAATAAGCAGACGAACATTTCCTCCAAAAAGAGGAATAGTGTGCATCATAATTTCTTTCTCCCTTTTGTTTTCTGTCTAAAAGTGGCTCTTCTTGCCTCTGGCATCTGGAAAGCAAAGCTCAGAGGGATTAAATGGCTTGTGCAGCCATGTGGAAAGAGAGCATCCCCAGTCTGTCCTTTTGGACACTTCACTGAGGGCATCAATGGTCTGCTCTGGGGTCACAGAGCACCTGTGAGTTCTTGGGACCAAGACTGTGTGGGCACACATAATATTTTGGTTGTCTGGGGGTGTGTTTGTTCCTCCATTAAACAGCCCCCACCACCACCACACAGACTTGGGCAACCTGCTTTTATGATGATACCATTCATCTGGTTCTGAATTTCTCTCCTTTCTCCTTTGCTCTCAAGCTGGCTTTTCCTCAGTGCTATTGATACACCTAGTTCTAGCTGCTTTGCCTCTTTTTATGGACTGGACTAAGAAATCCAAATTGTTAGTATTGGGGTTAAAAATAAAGAGATTTAGAGAAGTGCTGTATAGGGTGAAGAAGTGCAATAAAGGGTTCATACCAGCTTTTTCTTCTCTACACATACAGAGTCCAGATTCAGCTGGAACTTGGATTTCTGAATACAAAGGCAAGTCTTCACATTTCTATTTTCTCAGTGAGGTGATGGAGGATGCTGACATCTCGAGATAGAGTCTCTCTGTGTTGTTCAGGCTGGCTTCACGCCTCCAGGCTCAAGCAATCTCCTCCAGTAGCTGGAACTACAGGTGTATGCCACGAGACAGCAACCGCTATATGCTTCATAATAAGATTCTCCAAACATTTCCCCAATCCTATTTTCTTAAAACATCAACCACTTGATTCCCTTGTGAATTTCCCTCCCCAAATCTACACATTTATCTCAACCTGAGGCACCACTGGGATGCCACAATTCAACTTGCAGTTTTGGAACAATGGCACTGGAAGAGAGCGGTGCTCTTGGAAGTGATTCCTGTGACAATTATTATTTTGGTTGGAATTGAGTCTCTTGGTGGCTTGAATTGGATTATCATAAAAGTTTTGGGGTGAAGGGATGAGAACAGGTTGGCCAGAAAGGATCAAAAGAGACAGGCAAACATCTGCATGTCAGCGTATACAGCTAAACATACATACACTCTGTGCTATGCAGAAAAATGCAGATCTGCCCTTCCAGCCTTAAGGATGCTGGGTTGCAACTCAAGTTACAGCACAAAACACAAACACTAAAATAAGCTGGGTCCCAGGGGCTCACACCTGTCAGCCTAGCCATGAAGGAGGCCAAGAGTAGGAAGATCATGGTTCAAGGCCAGCCTGTGCAAAATTTCCTAAGACTCTATCTCAACAGAAAAAGCCGGGCATACTAGCACGCACCTGTCATCCTAGCTATAGTGGGAAGTATGAACAGGAGGCTCACAGTCTAGGTCTGTTTTCAGCACATTTGGCTGCTTTCCTTATACCTCTCCAGGCTCTACTTGGCTCAAAGACAGATGGTAACAGATTCTCCACCCAGCCACCCAGCTCTGGCTCCTCAGCCTCTTGTCATGTGCCAGGCCCTGTGCTGTGCAGACCTGGCCCCCAGAACCTTGAAGTACTCACAGTCCAATTAGGGATACTGAGTAGTATTTGGTAATGAGTAAGTGAATGCATGAATGAATGCTTGAAATTCCATTTGAGATGAATGATTGTATTTTAGCCAGACTCCATGGACTACTATGGTCTTCTCAGAATGAATGTCTCTAAGCTACACTTATGTTTATGTATAAGCTATCTGGGACCTAATTTCCAACATTTGCACTGTGATGGAATGCCTCACAACAACCGAATACAAGAGAAAAATCCAAAATCCAGTGAGTTGATTTTTCTGATGATTTATTTATCGCTTTAAGGAGAAAAGCCATAAACATGGTGCCATGAGAACTTGCCACGTTGAGCAAACACGTTCCACGCTACCCAAATGATAAAACATGACAGACTGACCAACAGTGATTATGCCTCTCCTGGGAAATTCTAAGGCACTTTCTCACATGTATTGTTTATTCACTTACAAAAATGGCAGTAGGCATATTTAAATATGAAATCACAGTTTCAAAACTAGATACATACATACATATATACACACATACCTGTGCAAGAATAGAGTCGGCCGTTCCAATCATGAGCGACCCCTACCATCATCATGACCTATCATCATCATGGTTGCTTTGTGTCTTTATAAAGCAATGATGTGATTCGACATGAAAGCTGGGCTACACTGCTTCTCCACAGTTCTTCTACATACACAGTATGATTTAAGGAGATTGGGGGCAAGGCTATCCTTCAGAACTACTTTTTCTTATCAACCTCTGAGTCTTCTTCCATCAATGTATTGACCTCTGTTCAATAAAGCACCTCCTGGAAGAGTTGTTCTTGTGATTTGAAGGCAGGGTAACTGGCTGAGAGTCAAAAAAGATGGCTCGGGTATCAGCTCATCCTGGGTTTGGAATCCTGGTCTTTCGTTTTCTGGTTGGGAAGACCTTCAATTATTTACCTGTGAGACTCAGCCAGCGCACCACTCAACTAGAACAATGGCGATGTCATGAGCTGACTATGAGGAGCAAGGAGACAGGGCAGCATATACCCGCAGCAGTCTTCTGATGAGAGTGGCATGTTAGGGGCCCTGCCAGACAGCTATGATGGCTCCAGCAAGAACCAATGGTTTGGTTCTCCCAGAACACCTGAGACACTTGGTCTAGCTACTGAACCTTCATTGAAGGTTAAGTCATTGTGCCTTCCCTTCATCCTAGAGCGTAAGGTTACAGGAGACCAGGGGAAGACCTATTGGATCAGTCTGAATCCTTGCCAATGTGAATCTCCCATAGGACGTCCAGGGTCTGCTCTGAGAAGTCTCCCCTTCTCTCCCCGCCCCCCAAAGCAAAGTACAACAGAACAAGCTTGGGTTTGAACTCCAACTCCTTAGCCTCTTTGTCTCAGAGTTTCTCTATATAAAATGAGGAAGAGAAGTGTACACCTAAGTACAGAGATAACTGATAAGGTAATGTAAGGTTTGAGCACCAGTTGGATGTTCAGTAAATGATCACTTTCATTATAATTATTACTCTTGATTTTTCTTGGATCAGACCACACCATTGCAGGACTATTCTGTCTGTCAAAAGGAACTCCATTACCTTGGGCACAACTCCTGCCTTAGGCTTTAACTCATCAGTGGAAGCATTCTCTCTGCAATCCACCCCCAGCAGGCTATGTCTGTTTCTCAAAAGGTAGCAGCCCAGTCCCACTGGCCACCCCAAGCCATCCCTCCCCAGGACAGTCTCCCCTCCTCCAACCAGTCTTCTGATGATAGTGGAAGTTAGCCTCAGTTTCCAAAATCAGGATACATTAGAGTTTCTGCTGAATTTCCTATGGGCTTAAATGTTAATGTTAGTGTTTCTAACGTGAGCCACAAACTCAGAAAAGGGTTTCATCATGGAGTAAGTTCTCTTTACAGGAAAATTCTTGCACATCCATTCCTTTGAAATATTAAGTCTCTTCCTATAGCACTCCACATAAGGTTTTCCCTGATTTAAAAAAAAATAGCTTTTTTCACCCAACTGGGAGAAGAGCACTTTTAAACCGATGGGAAGCTCTTCTAAATCAAAGCAGTTTAGCACAATTTGTTTGATACACCCTTGTGCGCTTCACGCAAGGCTGTAGCCATGTGAAGTCACATTGGTACAGTCCTTCTCTGCCTCTGCATGTAGCCATCTTTATATCCACCAATATGCAGAGTTGGGCAAATGTGTTGTGAGCTGCTTCTCATTTGCAGGAGAGATGGTCTATAGGGGATACAAGGATTTTTCTCTAAGCAACATATTTTGTAGGCTTAGGTACCTCAATTATCAGCAAGTCAGATACTCACTTGAAAAGAAGCTAGACAATAATAAGAGCAAGAAGTTGCTTACTGCAATATGTTTTCTATCCTGACATATTCAGAAGCAGGAGAAGCCGGAAATTAGGAAGCTAGATCATGCAGATGTGAGTGGCCCATGCTGTTTCTTTACCTTCTTTACCTTTCTAAGGTTCTATTTCACATTTATAAGAACAGAGATAGCAAAGGAAACTCCCTAACATTACCATGAAGATTCAAGGAGCAAGTACATGTAAAACACTGAGAACAATGTGTAGAGGACATCAGAGGTACTAAATGAAAATAATGTGACAGTAAATGGTGTTTTCTACTAACAAAATAAATAATAGCCCCATTTCCGCATGTAACAACCTTCTGTTCCTTCCAACCCCTCTTTGGTTTTTAAATTCTATGAAATACATGTATTTTTATTTCTAAACATCTGGTCAACCTCTGCCTCACATCAGAAAGTTAAATTGTGTTGATCTTTAGTCCCTAAAGCTATGACATAGGTCATGTCAGCAGACAGAGATGTGTCCAGAGCTCAGAGACCTTTGTGGTTTTATAAACTTGAGCCCTGGAGGCCATCCAGGCTGATGAAGGGTGAACCAGATTTCAATTTGATCCATACCCAGCCTGGTAGATCTGGTTTAGACTTCACAGGGTATCTAGGACACCACTCAGAGGGCAGAGAGATTGTTCTGAGGGCCTCACCCACTTCCACAAGCCCTAGGCAGAGAGACAATTAAGATGTAAGGAAGACCCTGGCCAGCTTCTCAAGGACAGTCCATCGTCAACAGCATTGAGTGCTCTGGTCATTAGCTGCTGCTGAAATGAGCTGACTTTACCCTGTCTGGATTGTCTGGGGACTTTCCCATGAACAACAATGGGAGTTTGATCAAATTCATTTCAGGATGGGATGAACCCACTTTGGACCCTTCACAGTTTCGTGGGGAAAGAGAAATTTGAACTTGACAAGGCTCAGATCAGAGAAATCCCCCTTTCCATTAAAAATCAGAAACAACCATTTACTTCCTTGGCAAACATCTGGTGTTCTTGCAGTGTGCTTATCTTTGGAGTCATAGCTACAAATGTTGGTGTGCTAAGAGCAGAACTGGCCTTTAGAGCCCCGTATGAGAGTCCAAATAATAGCTTCTTCTAGGGTCCCCAATTCTGTCCATCCTTCTGAATGGATCCCAAAGGTCTTCTAGTTTGGTATCTAAAGAGGAAACTGGGGATCCTAGATCTCCAGCCTCTTGCATTCCTTGGGACACGAGGACTTCCGATGACTTGAGCAGGTTGGATCAGGCTTGGGTCTTGTCCAGAGTAGGGAGAGACAGACATTTTCTTTGGCATGGTGCAGAAAGCAACCAAGGAGGGGACCTGTGGTTTTCAGCCTGAGCAGCACCATCTAGGCTCGTCTGAGCAGTTGAAGACAGGAAAGGAGGCTGTGAATTTGGATCGGGCTGATTAGGAGTAGAGAATATTCAAAGAATGCTCCCTTGTGAAGTTATTGGCCCCGAGGGCTGGCTGCTTTGTAATCATTTGAGGCAGGCCCCCAAACCCTTTGAGTCGTACCTGCCTAGTTGGCAATTTCTGAGATGTCAGGGTAGGGTTCCAAGTCTGCGAAGATATCATTGGGATTCCTACAGCTCAGGTTACAGAAGCAAGCATTAATCCACAGGACCTGTCGGGAGAAGCCGGGCCCCTCGGGACACTGGAAGGAAACCTCGATCGTCTTGGATTTGTACGGGATGCAACACCTGTTATCCACGCAGACTCCACAGTACTTCGGTCGGTAGGAGCGTGCACTGACACAGCCTGCCAGAGTGAAGTTCGTGGGCTCCTCTGGCTGGTACACAGCTAGACACTTCTTCCCTGCCTGCAGGAAACAAGAGAATGTACGCAGAACATACAACCCAGCCCTCCAAGCCCTCGGTCCGCCCCCTCTGCATCACAGCTTCTCCAAGCAGAGATAGACACTAGCCAGCCCAGGGAGACCCAGCCTCATCCCTAAGGCGGTTTAGACTGCATGACACAGGGTAGGGAGGCCCTGCTGTGCTCAATTCCTTCTCATACTACTCAGCCTCCTTCCCCTCCTGGTCTTTCGCCTTGCTTATGTATGTATGTGTATCATGATCTCTCTGGTATGTGAAGTTAAGAGCTCTTTCAGCCAATCAAACTCTACCTCCACCCACAGTTTAGCTAGTGGCTGAGCTGGCCTGGGGCTTCACAATCAGGGGCATGATTCACACACAGACACACACTCCTACACGCACACATCGCAACCTTGCTCTCAAGTATTCTTATCACATAATGTCTTTGCTGGGCTTGACATTACGTCAGTGTCTCTCCAGCCTTCTTCCATGGGGTGAGGGCTGGCGGAGGCACATGGCCTTTGCTGTCTCTCTGGTACAATTCTGTGCCTGGTACTCTTGCTTTGCCCCTGTGGTTCTTGGAGTCTGCCATGCCCCAGGACCATGCTGGAGATGTGGGCAGAGCAGGTGCAGCTCTGTGAGGCTTAGAGATTGCAGGAGAGGGGATCCCACAGGGCCCCACAATCACCAAAACAAAACTGTCCTAGAACAGAGGGCAAGGCAGACGTCCAAAGAGCAGTGTGGGATGCTGGACCAGCTGGTCACCTGGGCAACCTCTCATTAGAGAGCCCAAGACCCATCCTGCTTCCCAACTGGAAACAGGTGTGAGCTTTGTTTAGTGTGCTTTGGTTTGGGGGGCTGCTTGTTGCTGCTGAGGATGGTGATTGCAAAAGCATCAGGGAGTGAAGCTCACAAAGCACCATCTGTGACCCAGGTCACCCCAAAGCACTGCCCCATCAGGTCACTCTACCCACACCTGCCACAAGGGCCCTGGTGAGAATCTCGGACGCCAGCCGGAAGCTGGCCTTCTCTGCTTGCTGGGCCTGTGAGGCCCGCCTCTGCCGGGCACCCACCTTGATGAAGGCCTGGATGTCCACCTCGCACGGCCTCAGGTTGCAGAGGCGGCTCTCCTGCTCCGGCCAGCACCGCGCATTGACATTGGAGATCCGAGTGGAGATGCCCAGCCCACAGGTGGTGGAGCAGGGGCTCCAGGGGCTGGTGTAGGCGATGCAGTTCCTGTGCCAGGGTTCCACCTCCCCTGCAGCAGCTGCAGATGAACATCAGAGTTCCTATGAGTCTCCAGTCCCCACCAGGCCTCAGCCTGCACCATCAACACAGGAAGGCATTTAGGTCCCTAAGACTCAGAGAGACAGACAGGCAGACAGACAGGGAGATAGAGACAAAGACAGCCCGAGAACTGGCTCCTCACCGGCCTGGGTACCCAGGGAAGGAAGGCTTTTGTCTGGTCTTCATAGTTTTATGATTGACAGGAAGCATGAATGTACAGATGGAAAAATCATCTTTAGAGATAAGTAGACCCAAGTTCAAGTCCTTGTCTGCCATCTACAAGCTATGTAGCCTTAGGAACCTCATCTGACCTTCTGCCTCCTCATGGGACAATAGCATGTGCTGTATGGGGTTGTCAACTCTGACTGCGTTTATCCAAGCATTCAGCCTGGTGCTAGGAAGGAGAGGGTACTGTGTATTTATGGCTAGCCAATGGTGAGTAGCCTCACAGCCCCTAACATTGCCTGCCAGCCATGCTGACGGGAGAACGTGAAGGAGAACGTGAAGGCTTCCACACCGAGCCACCTGAGCTCAGCTCCGCACTGCTGCTTTTGAGCTGTGTAACATCCAAGGTGCTCACGCCCCTGTCTGGGTTTCTGCTCTGGCTGGGGGCGTCAGTGGGACTGACTGCAGCTGAATCCCAGTGCTGGGCTGGGGAGGGAGGGCATCACACACAGGAATGCGCTCCCGCAGCCCCTGTCCCTCAGTGAGCCCCATCCCTGGGACCGTCTCTGCCTATTGACTGTCAGCCGGAGCAGCCAGCAGCTCTTCTGCAGCTTCAGCAGTTGGGTGGGTTCTGGGCCATGGGCTGAGAGGTGGAGGGTGGAGAGCTAGAGACCCAGGAAAACAGAAGTCAGGTAAGTCAGAGGACTCCCTGGGGGCAAGACAGGACACGGCACCTGAGAAATTCCTGCGCACAGAAACAGGAAGTGTGGAGGGGCGGGGCAGGAAGGGGGTAGAAAGATGAAGAGAGATGGAAAAAGAGGGGGGAACAGAGAGGGGAAAATGGAGAGAGAGAGAGTGAGTATAACAAGGCTAGAGAAAAGGAATTAGTGAAAAGGAATTAGTAAATAGGGAAAGGGAAGAAGGGAAAGAGATGCTAGAGAGAAGAGGAAAAGAAGAACCTAACTAGGGTCAGGGTCCAAAGAGACAGAAGGGCGATCAGGGCTCTGTCCTCAGCCTCTGGCGCTCGTGGGAGTGTAGGGATGCTGGTGAATGAATACAGAGGTACACCTGAGATCGAGGGGTTCTCACACACAAGGGAGAGAGGCAGCACAGCCAGCCAGGGACAGAGGAGGGCCGGGCCGGGCCGGGCAGGCTGCCAGCTGAGGAGGCAGGCGTGCAGGGGATGAGCAGGCTGCAGGGGATTTACCGAGGGTCGTGAAAGGGCTTTGGTTTCTGGGTCACTTCCTCTACTGCAGGAGCTGTGCTTGTGTTCAGTGAGAATGGGGTCACTGGGCCACACACAAGGCACAGACAGCCTCCTCCCTCCCCCCAGCCCCCCGCCCAGTGACCCTTGTGTGGCCTTGCTGAAGGGGGCTGGGGTGGGGAAGCTGGCCTACTATCTCCTCCCCCTGAGACCAGATGGCTTCTCCACCTGGGCTGCTGTGTCTCTCAGGGTTCATCTGGCCCTGTCTGGGGGTGCTCATAACTTGGGCCAGTGTTACTGCATCGAGTGGGCAGAAGGAGAGATGCTGGTGCACTTCCTCCGCTGCTCAGGACAGCCCTCCCCCAGGGAACCCCACCAGTCTAAACCGCAGCCAGTGCTGAGGCTGAGAGGCGTCCTCTGCACAGCCCCAAATCATCTCACGCACTCCTCATGGTTTATGAGATGCGGGACACTTGGCATCACTAACCCCGAGGCCACCCCTTTCCTCCAAGTCCTCTGCGGGGAAGAGATGTCCTCACCCCTGACTCCCACTGCAGCAAATGCCCCTGGTGCTCCCCTGCACCCTTCCCTTCCCCCTCACCTCTTCCCTCTGTCTTCTCTCCTTCACCCCATGCAGCTTCAACTGACTCAAGAAACACCTCCTCCATTTTTCAGGTCTTCATTACCTCTGTGCTCGCTGCCCTAGTTCAGATCCTCATAGTCCATCCATCTATCCATCCATCTATCCATCCATCCATCCATTCACCATTCATCCATCTATCACCCATCCACCATCCATCTACCCATCAATCCATCATCCATCCATCCATCCACCTATCATCCATCCATTCCACCCATCCACCCATCCATCCATCTATCCATCACCCATCCATCTATCCACCATTCACCTATCCATCAACCATCCATCCATCCACCCATCAATCCATCATCCATCCATATACATATCATCCATCCATCACCCATCCATTTCACCCATCTATCCATCCATCTTTCATCCATTCATCCCATCCACCCATCTATCCACCCATCCTCCATCCATTTCTTATCTACTATCCAGCCGCCCATATATCTATTTATCCATTCATCCACCTACGTGATACACAGGTATCTGCTAGCACTGGGCTATGTTCCCTCTGGCAATGTGAAACCAACAGGCCTGTCCCTTTCCTTTTTTTCCAGGGCCTCCTTACATTAGACCCTCCTGGCTGAAGCCTCACTTGCTCCTCATCCTCTACAGTAGAGGAGACATCAGGAGTCTTGGTTAGTGTCACCTCCTCCCACTCCTACCCTGTACCAGCTGCTCACACAAGGATAACAATGGAGTTGGCAGGGAGGCTTTGCTCTTCACAAGGCTCTGCCTGCTTCCATGCCGGAGCACCACGAAGGAGACGGGCTGGAATTTCCACTGCACAGATGGGGGGATGGGTCCCCCCCACAGCGTGGTGCACGGGTAGTGTGACACCCCCCCCACCCCCGCAGCATGGTGCACAGGTGGTGTGACTCGGGGCCTGCGTCCTCCCAGGGCCCAGCGCACCTACCGAAGGCGCTGGTGTCCAGCAGGGCGGTCTGGCGCGGCCTCCTGGAGTCATCCTCACACACCCACTGCTCGCAGCACTGGCCGGGCACGCTCACACGCCGGGGCTGGCGGCACCAGAGGCGCGGGGGCCGCGCACGGAGGCACCGCGGCGTGCAGCCCACCGCGCCGTCCATGCACGTGCAGTTGAACCTGCAGCTGGGCTGGAAGGACTCTCCGTTGGTGTAGCGCACGCCATTGAGGATGCAGCCCACGCCGACCACCTCTGCAAACACAGCGGGCGGCGGGTCAAGGAGCGCATGCGCTCCAGGCCAGACTTCCTCTGCCCAGGCCCCATGCCAGACAGCAGCCAGAGGCAGACAGGGCCCATGGGCAGCTGCGTGGGCAACGGGCAGAGTGGGAGGCTGCCTTAACTTGGGCAGGAGCGGTTGGCAGCTCACACCCGGGCAGGATCCTGGGCACATTTGGAAGGAAAGCTGACAGGACCTGCTGGCGGAGGGTTGGGGCAGGGGAGGAGTGGGGGTCCAGAAGGACACCCAGCTTTCCCCTGAGTCCAGTGATCTGTCTTCTTTGGAGGAGCCGGTGGTGAGGGATGTGGGATTGAAATGGAAGTGCTAGAGGGTCTTGGAGAGTCTGTGAGGTGCTGGCTATGCAGGCTGGGGATCCAGGAACGGTATAGAGGTGACTCAGCCAGAGGCCACCTTTAACTGGGGACAGCTGGATGTGCAGGTGGTGGGGCCTAGGGCCACTGCAGGAGGGAAGAGTGGAATCTGCTCTCTCTGTGCTGTCTCCAGTCCACCAGCCTGGCGGGAGGTGGCGGTGTTAATAATGCATCCTGGTATCAGGGGCAGTGAAGGCTGGCTGGCTCGGCCCTGGGGTCTTTGTGTTGTGCTCACTGCATTACTTATTTTGTCCTATAAGGAACCACAGTCACATAGAGCAAAACCGAATCTCAGGGAGGCAAAGCTGCATGTCTGAGCAGGTCAACGTGGGGCGCAGACTGGGGCTGCTGATTTCCCGGGGCGTGGTTATCCAGGAAGGTGGCATGGGAAGGTGACACAAGCATGCACGGACCACCCCACCTGGCGCCACATGCCACGGTCCATAACCTCCGGCCGGCCTCCCGCAGACCAAACTGGGAGATATTTATCTTCATTCCGCAGACAGGAAAGGTGTGGACGGGTTCAGTTGCTCGTGATAACAAAACTAGTGAGTGATGGAGCTGAGAGGGGCTGCACCCCAGAGGTTCCATCCCACACCCCCACTTCCTCCTACCGAACACCAGTGGAAGAAGGAAGGATGAGGGAAAAAGTGGAAGCAAGAGTTGAGCCACACAGCTTGGCATTGTGTCAGTGCGTCCTGTCACTGTGTGAGTGAATCCGTATGTGTGAGTGTATGCGTGTGTGTCAGTGTGAGTGCACAGAGTGTGAATGTGTCAGTGCATTTGAGTCAATGTGGGCGTGAAGCCATACGCATGACAGTCCGTGGTCAGTGTGCTGGTGTTGGTGGAGAGGGAACAGGAGGAGGCTGCAGCCCACACTCACTCTGCCCAGGGTGAGGAGACCAAGGGGAAGCCAGCACTGAGGCCAGGGGCCCTCTGCACAGCGATTCCCTCACCGGCTGCTCACCAGCTGTCAGCGGAGCAGGTGAGCAGCTCCGAAGATCCTGGCACCCAGCCCGTGCGGCAGGCCAAGGAGTAGACCTGGCCTTGTGTGCTGCTGCTTTGTCCACACTCGGAATTCCTTAGAGACTGATCCCTCGGCTTACAGCCGAGGTGGGGTAACACGGTGCCTAGAAGGTGCCCCGGTATCCCTGGATCTGTGGGTAAGGACATGGGGCATGAGCCTGCCCCTCACTGGCCAGAGAGTGACAGGTGTGTGATGGTTGTGGACCACCCCATCAGGAGACTTGGGGGATCCTTCCTCTGTCGCTCTCTTTATACCTAATGAGAGGATTCACTCCTGGAGAGATGATGAGGCCGGCCAGCTTCTATCGAGCTTGACTGAAAGGCTCAGTGCAGCCCAGGAAGCCTTTCTGGGGGGCTGCAGTCAGCTTGATCTTCTGCTAGGGCTGCGGCTGCCTCCCCATTCCCCAGGGGAGAGGGACAGTAGGCAGGCAGGCAGCTCCACCCCCCGGGGACCCCTCACCCAGGCTCACCACATGAAAACATCACGGAGGGGCTGGTGAGGAAATCTCTACCACATTCCCCATAGGTGACAGTCAGCGCCCCAAAGGACAGCACTGTGTGATCCATGGTCCTCCAGGAGCAAGCTGAGACTGAAGAGGACAAGGAGTCGCTGAAGTCACAGCTCCGCTTGGGGACCGTGCTGGGAGCCCCGCTCTGGCTGCAAAGACTGCAGTTAGGATTCCCTCCCTCCCAGCCAGGGGCGGGGGGAGGAGGTTACTGAGCCCGGCTGGGGCCTGCTCTCCCCCCTCAGCATGGCTGAGAACAGGGCTGGGGTGATGTTGGCTAGGCGAAGTTTGAACAAGGGAAATCAAAAGACACAAGGGCGGTACTCACTTGGGTCTTTGTTTTGTTTTATTTTTACTTTTTATTTTTATTCCCTTCCTCAACTCCATAAAAGACTGGTTTTGCAGCAAGATCTTTAAGTGCTGTGTTCTCAGTCACATAGCTAACAAGAGGCAGAGCCAGGATCTAGAAACGCCAAGTCCATCTGCCTGGAACTGTCACAGCGTTCCTACCCAACCATTCTGCCCTCAGCTCTGACCTGGCCACTTGAATCGTGGTGTTTGTGCAACTGAAATAGCCACACAGTCGAAGACAGGGCCACATTCTACCCATGAAGCATTCAGTTTGGCCCACAGAATGTTTCTTTAAAAAATGTTTTGGTTTTTTTTTTTCTTTTTAATGCATTGCCAACATTTACAAATCACCACAAGCCTGGATTTCTGGATTCTCTTCAAAACTGAGCAGACTGGACAAGACCAGTTCATTCTTCTCCGGGCCACAGTGTGCCAGAAGGGCAACATCTGGGAGCCAAGGCCCGCATTTACCAGCTTCCCGTCATCCCTGCCAGTGCTGGAGTTACTCACTTTCATCACCTGCCCTGTCGTGCGCTTCCTACATGCAAATCTCCAAAGGCCAACTTCGCTCATGCCTGAGCTGCCCTGTGCAGAGGCTGGCTGTTAGAGGAACTATTCCTTTCTGACTGCTACAGGGGTAGTCTTTTCTCTGTTCATTCAGACCCTGATGTCTCTTCATTCTTGCATTAGGGTCTCACACACTCACACAGCATGGAAGCATGTTCAGTAGGAGCTAGTGAGTTGTGTGTGTATGTGTGCATCGCATGTGATGGAAGGCAGGTAGGGAAGGACGTATCCGAATGAGAGAGTTCAGTGTTCAGATGGGTTCGGAATGAAAAGGCCTCTTATGGCAGCTCATTTGGGAATTTGGCAATGGACAGGAGAGGTTCTGCAATACCACTTTATTTAGTCCAGCGTCTGCAAGCCTATCTGACCGGGGTACCCTTGGGAAATATAAAAGCCTGTTGAAATACTGAGTTTTGTTGGCTTGTTTGCCTATGGAGTGGACAGGAAATACATGGAGATTCTTGGTAGCAAGGGGCTAGAAGGTTGTAGTGAATGAAGGCAGGACCAGAGAGGAAAACCTGTAAGTGGTGGGGGTATGGAGAAGTGGAGATGGCAAGAAGGGAGGGCTGACTCTAGACACATCAGAACATGTCTGAAAAGGTACAAGGCCTGTACATGGTAAGATCCCAGTACAGCTTTATAGATAGGAGCATCACAATGAATGACCTTGAACACAGTAGTCAAAGAGGAAAAGAGGCTGGGGCCATGTCTAGCACAGAGAGGCTGGTCCAGGTCTTCCACCCAGGATATAGGAAAGAGGGAAACAGTTGGCTGTGGACACATAACCATCTTGAGCTTTACTATGCAGAGAAACATTCTCATCCCAACCCATTTTGAGGATTTCACTCAACAAGTCTGCACCGAGGCTCAGGAATAACATTTTTAGCATGGCAAATGATTCTGTGAGAGGTATATTCTCTTTGACCACATTGTTTAGCGGGGCTAATAATGCATACCAGTAAAAAGAAAAAGATTGGAAGGATAGGGAAGCATGGTTACATCCAAAGCCAAAACCACATTCCATGTATGAAAGCTGAAATAGGAACTGGATTTTGATAAAAGAGAGGAATGAGCCCCAAGTTAATAGATTAATGTGTTATTAATTACCCGAGGCTCAGATAGGAATTTTTGACTTGGAATTATGTGCATAACCTTTATCAACGCCCACCTCAGGACTATAATGTGGGGTCTATACAGAATTATAATTGTGGGTTATCTTGTATCAGCACTAAGGGACAAGAGATTTATGAGACTGTGAAACTTCTCAAAAGTTAGGCTGCTGTATCAAAATGCCAGGTTCCCTCTTTTCATTAGGTTGGGTCATTTGAGTAATGCTTATGTGATTCAAACTGAAAAAAAAATACAAGTCCAGATAGACGTAGGTCATGAAATCTCAGAAAGGTGTTTGTTAGGGACAAAGAAAGGAGAAACTACACATGACCTAACACCGAAAGAAAGGAGAGAAGAAGAATATAAAGATCAAGAGTGAAGAAAAACCAAAGGCAACTGAAATCAGAATATAAAGATCAAGAGTGAAGAAAAACCAAAGGCAACTGGAATCTCTAGGAATAAACAAAAGGCATCATGAAAAGGAAATCCAAGCAAGTACTCTCTTTTTTGTTACAGTACATAATATTTACATAGCCACACTATTGTAAATATTGTGAATTAAGACAACAGCATGTGGAAGATAAGGAAGGTGTACAGTCGTCATCGCTAACCAACCGAAATATTAGTAGAGGACCCCAAACAGATCAAACCATCAAGACATAGCAGAAGACAAGGGCTCCCTGGCGGTCACTATAAGAAGAAAGGACTACAAAGTTAAAAATGATGATCGGGACTGGAAGAGTATGGCTTATGGGACTCGGCACCTGCAAGCTGCTTATTTTCATTACTCCAGGGTTGTTGGATTTATTCAGTTGCACGTGTAATTCTAATTTGCAGCATTTCTCAACTATCTCGAGCTCTGTAGTGACCTCGCAGTGACCCCAGGGGGGAACACGGGCAGACGCCCACAAGAGCAAACCCAGTTTAGGTATTTTCTCGTAGAACCTCATTCCCCAGGGAAGAATGTCTGCAGGTCTGAGAAGAGAGCCAAAGCAGGGTCCTGGAGCCCGGCCAGGCTGGCCTTACCCTTGCCCCAGAAGGGCCCCGGTCTATGGGTTCTAGTCATGGACTTGGAGTGCGTCCCCTGCCAAACTGAAGGCTGGCCACGTGGGCCAAGGCAGAGAGGCCCTGGGTCAGGGCTGGCGCGCGGGGCTGTGGGAGGGCATGGAGCGCTCACTTACGTGCACATACTCCTATTGCGTACCTCGGGCGGTCCACACTGTAGTCGCAGTAGAGGCCTCGGTGAGGGTCACAAACAGCAGCCTCTGTGCAGTTGTCCCCAAGCTGCTGCGCACATATCTTGCAGCATTCACAGCCGTCAGTGATTAGGCTGACTCCCAGTGGGCAGCGGGGCGGGGACGGGGGACACTCACATGGCCACTTGCAGAATTCAGGGCGTGAGGTTGTGTCCTCCAGTGGAGCTGGGGTAAAGGCCACAGGCGCGGGGGTTGGAGCCAGAGCCTGTAGGGGACACAGAGGTGAAGCTGTTGAGTTGGGGGGTTTTGAAGCCCAAAGGACACAGCCATTACCTTTTTGTTTACACAGTGCTCAGGAGGATTTTGTGATTTGTTTTTAATTCTCTGTTCCATGACTGATCATCTCTTTTCTTCTCAATGAAATTGGTGAGACCTAGGTAGGACCCCCCAACACTCAGAGAAGGTATACCAGTTGTCTGACACCCACTGCAGGTGAAGCTCTGAGGTCCAGGTTTAACTGGGGTCTCACTTGTTTCCTTCTTTCTTTGAGGTCCCCACAGCAGGAGAGGTGGCTTCAGGGTTCACTAAGTGACATGGCTACAGCACAGCCCACACCCAGGGCCCTTGGCCAGGCCAGTGGGCCTTCATTTTACTTCCACTGAGTCCTCCAGACTCATGAGCTGGAGGGCTGCTCCCTGGACCCAGGGGAGTAAGCCCAGAGCTCTGGCACTGGTCCCCGGAGAAGGGAGCTGTGTTCTGTAGCCACTTCCAGCCTGCATAGAAGCATCCTCATTGTATACCTGGGGTGATCCTTTCATTATCCTTCCTACTCACACCCCTCCCCAACACCCTAACCTGCCAGCAACCAACAAATCTGCCTTTACTCCAGAAGATGTGATAGAGCAATGACCAGCCGGGGAAGGAAATGGAGACCACAGAGGTCCACAGACCTGCAGATAGGCAGGGGGAAGGACCCTGGGATCTTGAGTCTGGGTATTCCGTGAGCACCCAACTGGCTATAGGTGACAGGCTCCCAGCTGTCAGGACCGGCTCTGGTGGAGGAACTGTTAAAGCTGCCATCTCCTCTAGCCCTCTTTCCCCACTCAGGGCTGCGTGGAATTGCTGCCTCCCACTAGAGGGTGGGCTCTGGCTTCGCTTCTCTCTGTGCTTACACAGAACCCGGCCTATGTTCCTAAAGTAGAGGGACTTCCAGTTACAAAGGGATTTAGTGTCACCTAACATCACCCTCTGAACCTGTCAACACTAAGTCTGCATGGAAAAGCTGAGACAGTCAGATGTGGGTCTTTCTGTGGCCTTGGATCTATTCCTGACTCCACACCACAGGCACGTCCACTCTGTTGAGACGTGCTGCTCTCAGGAGGTGAAGGGCGTGGCGTGGGGCGAGGCCCTGGGAACTGGCACACCACAGCCCCTCAGAGCCCACCCACCCTGCAGATGGAGCTCCACACTCCCTGCTGTGCTTGCCCAGGGAGGGGCCTGCACCCTTGGCACTGGGCTGGAATGTGGTGGTAAAGCCCATGGACACCCAATCAGTGGGGTTAACATTAACCCTCTCCCTCCATCCCGGGTCAGAGCCCAACAGGAAGCCTCTTTTCCAAGTTCCTGCCTGGAGCTGGTTAGAAGCCACAGGAAGGCCCAGTAATTGCACAGGGAGGTGGAGGTGGGGGGGGGGGGAACAGGAAACACTTCTGGTCAAACCTTTGCTTTTGGTGCCATCTAGTGGTCATTAGGTCCCAGCCATGCAGGGAGAAAGACCTTGAACAAAGCTGGGCAGGGGGGAAATCCTCCAGACCCCAGGGACAGTTATAAAGGGATTTAGTGTACTGGGTCTGGTGTGTGGCCCAAGTCCTGCTGCTTTGGCCAGCACTGGTGTCCTTTGAGACTGAGAGGCCACCAGCTAATCCTCATTTGGTGGGTGCCAAGCGGATCCGCATCACAATGCCTGGCACACACAGCAGGTGGCAAGCATCTGCGGATGGGATGGATGACAGAGTTGGTGTGTATTTGTTTCCTCAACTGCACTGTAGGCCCTCAAGGGCAGAAGCTACCCATCACCCACCTGACTCCCTGTGGACAAAGCCCAGCTCCACACAACCAGCACCGGTATGTTCGTGGAGTATGCCTGTCATGGGAGAGTTTTGGTGACCCACGATCTCCTCAGCCACGTTTCTCACAGTGGTGAAGAAGTAGAGGTTCCGGGAGGTTCAACGCCTTGCGTGAAGTCACACAGGCAGTCCATAGTTCTGGAGCCAAGTTCTGATTTTCCCAACGCTGTGGAGCCATTGGCTCGCTGGTCCCTGTCACCCTACCCCACTGGGATGATTGTCGAGACCTCTGGAGGCCCTCGGTGGCAAACAAGGCCATGGCTTCCTCATCCTTGCCCTCAGAATGCAAACAACCGATGGGCGCTATGCCTCACAGCTGTAATCCCAGCTACTCAGGAGGTTGAGATCTGAGGATTGTGTTCCAAAGCCAGTCCCAGTAGAAAAATCCATGACACTCCTATCTACAATTAACCATCAAAAAGCCGGAAGTGGAGCTATGGCTCAAATGGTAGAGTGCCAGCCTTAATGAAAAAAAAAATATACCACAGAACAGCCCCCAGGCCTGAGTTCAAGCCCCCTTAACCCCATACACATAGATCCAATATCCCACTTATATCAATGGAGATGTGGGCAAAACCCATACAACACGAAGACAGACTTCAGATGGTCTGGGAGTGAGGAGCTTGAAGAAACCAAAGCCCAGCCTCGGCCCCGTAAGCCTGTGTTAACTCTCAAGAAGGAAAGCAGGAGAAACCCCGGAAAGCCAGGGAAGGGTTGTCCAGAGGCAGACAGAGGAAGAAAAACATTCCTAAAGTCTTGCTTCTTCCAAACTGGAGCTGTTCACATAAAACAACGTTTTACGAAGAGCTGTTGGAACCAGACCTTCTGCACACGCTGCCGCTGTTGTTCGTGTGGAAGACCACAAGGGACCGTCCCGATGCCCAGGGCTGGCCTGGCACAGCCATTCCTGCCCAGCTCTGCCTGCTGTATAGGCTCTGGACATATGGCCTCGCCCACACCCTCCCTCTTCTATGAATCTCCCACTCTTCCCACCAGATCATCTCAGGCAGAGTTAGACCCTGACATCCGTTTCCCAACGTTTCTACACTCATTAGCTCCATTGTGGAGCTTCAGTATGAACTGTCCCGGGAGAGCCGGATGAAACAGGCTGGGGAGGAGCAGAAGCAGAACCCAGGCACCAAGGTTTAAACTTGGTAAATGCAGATTCCCAGGTCCCACCTCCAATCTCTGCCTTCAGTTCTTCTCATGGGGGATCCAGAGCCTGCTGGACCTGTGGCTCTGCCCAGGCTGGACAGGGAGCAGGGCTGAAAGGAGTCCACAAGTTAGAGACTCTTGTACAAGCCAGGCTTGTGGGCCCTAAGGACTCAGCGACCCCTGTAAGCTCCATCCACAGTACCACCTCACTCCCACAGTACACGCTCACCTAGCGGGCTGCCTGCCCTGTAATTCTGCTTAGCCAACAGGTGTGCGGTCACTAAGTGAAATGTGTTTGCCTTTGAGGCTTGAAAAGGGAGAAATGGGAAAGAGATGCACCCAGGGGCAAAACCCCTAAAGGCTACATCCTGATTCCCCTGGACAGAGAGGGGAACGGCAATGAGCGAACCCTTCCACCACACTTTTGTGGCATGAGGGAGGTGACTAAACCCCAGAGGGGGAGCCAGCCCTGCAGGAACTCTGCATGGGCATTTCCGGGAAAGTCAAAGGAGAGCCCAAACGTGTCGGTAACCATGGGATCTCGTCGGTTGGGACCAAGATGCCTGGCAGGAGCTGGGGAAACCAGGGGCTGGACAGGCTGAGGACCAGCTCGGGCCCGGGGCGGAGCCAGCCTTCTCTCTCCTGAGAGCGAGCTGGGAGGGGGCGCAGGCCAGCAGGAGGACCCTGGGACGCCACCCTGGGCTCAGGGGCCGGCCAGCCTCTAGCGGCTCCTCCCCTTCCTCCCAGTTGGCCGTGGAGCCCATGGGCTCCTACATCACAGGCGGGGAGACTGAGGCTCAGACAGCGCGGAGAGCACGGGTCACTTGGTGCAAGGCCCGGCCTGGCCTTCCTGCCAGGGATCACAGTGGTGCCATGGAGCACAGGTTCAAAAGCAAAGGGGGGCTTCATGTGGGGA